GAAATTTAAATCGAAATAAATTACATTGCAAAAATAAATTTTGAAAATGGTAGTTCACCGAATAAAATAGAAATGGGCTGGAAAAAAAAACTTACCAATAAAAAAACCAGCCGTCAAATTAATGTTAAATTGTGTAATATTAAATTTTTACATGTGGTTTAAATTTACTTGATTCTTTCTCCCGCTAATATTTATTGTCCTGGCATTATACTGCAACCATTACTTTCTTATTTAGTTTGTTTTTAATTGCAAACAAGTTAAAAAGTAATCGTAAACGATTTACACAATGCGCATTTCCACTTGCATTCATTTCCCATTTGCAACTTCTGTTAAAATCGTAAAAATCCGGCCACAAATATGAAAGATAGCGTTGCACATGAGCAATCCATTTTTGACATGCTATTTCAATTTCAGTTTATGAGAAGAATTTGATTTCAATGCTTTTCTAAATAAGAAAGTTGGAACTGCGCATGCGCAAACCTAAATTTTAAAACTAATGTTAGATTTTCCTTTGTTCCAAGCGCCAAAGTATCAAATTTCACTTAAATGCTTCCATAAATAAAAAAATTGGCACTGGGCATGCGCAAAACCAAATTTTGAAACTGGCATGTGATCTTCCTTTATTCCAAGCGCCTATGTATCAAATTTCATTCAAATCCTTTTATAAGAAAAAAAGTTTGCAATTCGGTTTATAAATGGTCGAGATGTGAAAAGGGCGCTGTGAATTTTGAATCGATTCGATTCAACTTTTGGCATTGCGTATTATATGGCTAAAGCTATGCCCATATTGAATTTCATGCAATTCAGTTCATAACTAACGGAGATGCAAAAGCGATCGGACATTTCTAAACACAATTATCGTTCACACGGACAGATAGAGGGACAGACAGGCAAAGGAAGAGACGGACAGACCAACAGACAGACAACAATACAAAATTATAAATGATCTCTAGGATGGTTAATAAACGGCAAAAGTGTAAAATTATGGAACATGTAAAAAACGGTTTGTTGGTTTTTTTACAATAACTTTTTTAGCAATAAACGCAGAAAAAATTCCTTCCTTGGTGCAAGCCTCGACACCATAACGAACCAAATAGCGAAAAAAGTAGAACAATAGCTCTTAAGATAAAGAACTAGTAGCGTCGCAAAACGAGCGGACGGACGGACAATAGCGCATTTTTTTTTATTTTTGTGGAAATGCGCTAAAAATGTTAATACAAAAGTGCAAAATAAGCGAAAAAAATAAACGAAATTCAAATTTGCAAAACGCATCACTATTGGACGAATGAAAGTGACGTGAAATGCTACGCGATCGCATTTATTGTGTCAATATTCATAAGTACTTAGTCCAGTCAAATTACGGTTTGGGCAGATTGGGCGGTCATTTCACTCAACGAAATCAAGTGTCTTCTATGTAAAAAGATCCGCTGAATCCGAAAATCATAGTCCCCCTAGCCGAAAACTCCCGGAATATATTGTTATGTATAGACAAAAAACGAAGAAAAAATGGCAAATTGTCGTTTCTTTTGGCATTTGACTTCAATTATCGTTAACTATTGCTCTAAGGGAAACAAGTTAAAAAGTAATCGTAAACTAGGTATGTACAAAAAGCGCATTTCCCATTTTTGTAAGATGCAACTTCGTAAATCGTAAAAATCCGGCCATAAATATGAAAGATAGCGTTGCAAATGTGCAATCCATTTTTGACGTGCTACTTCAATTTCAGTTTATAAGAAGAATTTAATTTCAATGCTTTTCTAAATAAGAAAGTTGGAACTGCGCATGCGCAAATCTAAATTTTGAAACTGGCGTTTGATTTTCCTTTATTCCAAATGCGTATGTATCAAATTTCGTTTAAATTCTTCCATAAATAAAAAAGTTGGCACCGCGCATGCGCAAAACCAGATTTTGAAACTGGCGTTAGATTTTCATTTTTTCCAAGTGCCTCTATCAAATTTCATTCAAATACTTTTATAAATAAAAAAGTTTGCAATTCGGTTTATAAATGGTCGAGATGCGAAAAGGGCACTGTGAATTTTTAATCGATTCGACTCAACTTTTGCCATTGCGTATTATATGGCTAAAGCTATGCCCATACTGAATTTCACGCAATTCAGTTAATAACTAACGGAGATGTAAAAGCGATCGGACATTTCTAAACAAAGTTATCGTTCACACGGACAGATAGAGGGACAGACAGACAAAGGAACAGACGGACAGACCAACAGTCCAACAGACAGACAGCAATACAAAATTATAAACGATCTCTAGGACCGTTAATAAACGGGAAAAGTGTAAAATTATGGAACATGTAAAAAACGGTTTGTTGTTTTTTTTACAATAACTTTTTTAGCAATAAACGCAGAAAAAATTCCTTCCTTGCTGCAAGTCTCGACACCATAACGAACCAAATAGCCAAAAAAGTACAACAATAGCTCTTAAGATAAAAAACTAGTAGCGTCTCAAAACGAACGGACGGACGGACAAAGTGGCCACAAAAGCGCATTTTTTTTTATTTTTGTGGAAATGGCTAAAAATCAAGAGAAATGAATTTGTTTAGAATTGAATTTTCTATAAGATACAGTTGGTCCGGAATGCCCATTTTCAAATGTTATTGTTTTTTATGGAAAAATATAAAAAAGCAATCCCGAAGATTATCAATTGGATATTACTAGGTAAGTAAAATTCAGCCGATCTTTTTGAAAATCCGTATTTGGTTACTTCTTTTGATAACAAAACATATGACAAACCCGATCACCGTAGGTTTTATAGTTATTGCATAATTAAATAAACAAATTTACAAAACGATTCTTGGTCTTTCAAACTGGGTGACCCCCAGAGCGTTTTAAATTTTTTTACAGATGGTGGAATCCTAAGACAACAATTTCCAAAAATTGTCCTGATGATTCTTGCAAATTAATGGACTGTGGAATTTTTTTTAGTTAACTAACAAATGGCCCGAAATATAACAAGGAAGGTAACTCAATAGGCCCTTGGCGCTCTGATTAATAAAAATCATACATTTTGGTCAAGAAGAAGCATTAAAAACTAAAAAGTTCACGCTTTAAAGAATCGTTCGATGCGGCCCGATTTGCAAAATCATTTTTGTTCGTATCCAAAACAAGTCCGAAGTCAAAAGCTGATTTCTCGTGAACTGGGATTTGGACGTATTTTTTTAAATGTAGGTCTTTCCGAGAGTTTTCCATTCGCCTACTATAGATTTACATGTTTTGTGGTATTTTGGAAATTATTCCATTTATTAACTAAGTAAATTCTTCGGATTTTGAAAAAAATTGCACAGTCCGTCGATTTGCAAGAATCACCACTCACCAGTACAATTTATTGTTGAAAAAGGTGGTTTTAGGGTTCACTAACCGTAAAAAACTCGGGAAAAAAATTGAGAACGCTCTAGGAGTCGCACTCTTGGAACTGCAAAAAATACCTTATCGGGAATATTTCTGTTTTTGCACTTTTGCACAAGAGAATACCTATAAAAATGGTTTTTTAGCTTTTTTCATGGTCTGAATAGCTATTAGAACTAAAAATCTGTATAAATAACAACACTGAACGTAAACAAATTCCCTATTATGGGTCAGGTAAGCAGGTACCTAAATTCTAAGAAAGGGTGAAATACACAGGATGTGACTCATCTTGGGTGCAATATAGTCCTTTTGTTAAAAGCAAGATGGAAAATTACATGGCCTTGTAGGCAAATTTCACTAAAAACAAGATATGTGGAAATTAGGAATCGTAACTCATTTATCGCTCATAGATTCTAAACTGAAGAGCTTTGATTAGCGTAATCCCGCTCCTGCAAGATGGGTAACCGGTTTCTAACTCCATTTTGACTACAATTTTTTACCACCCCCGTGACTACCTCATTCACGGAGAAAATTGTTAGTTACAAACAACAAGTCATCAAACGAATCGGTAATTTCCCCATATTAAAATAAAATGATTAAGACTTATATGAATGTTACTTCACGGACAAGACCAAGTAATCAACATCAATAAACATAAATTAAGCAAACATTACACCAAAAACGTAAACGATTACAAACAATAGGATAACGTATTAAACATGTCATTCTGCATTGCGGTTAAACCAAGTAAATTTTAAAAACAAAGATTCAAACACACAAAAAATATAAAATGTGGCATACAAAACACAAATACGATATAAAGAAATGTAAAGATTACTATATACCTGCATTAAATAACACAAAATAACAGCAAACATTTATGGAGCGACGCGTTCACGATCACCATTCGAGACTGGACTCTAGAGAGAAGCACAAGAAAGAATGAAGATACCTTTTCTAGATGGCGTAGGCAGCTTTTCCCCACCTAGAAATTGCATGGTTGCCAACTCTCAAAAATGTATGTATCGCGTAACTTGTATATACAGAGTGGAACCTCTCACAGCATATGGAATAAACAAGAATTGTAACGTTATTATTTATTATAAACAAAGCTTTTTACGAGTATAACGTTTGCAGGTTATGTTTATTATTGACCCCTTTTGATTATGTAGTACATAATCAAAGTTTACTCCTCCTGGATCCACATTATACGTGATTCACGGACGCATTGTTACCACCTGATCGTTAAAAACCAATGAGTTATGAGACTTAGCGATTTTCATTAGTTTTTGACGATCACAATGACCAATGCCCAAGACATGAATTTGATGCATTTTTGTTAAGTATAAAATGTATTTTGTAAGATTAAAATAAATTGTCGTTAAAAGTGATTGTAATACTGAGGATCCTTCGATATTTTGTTGTATCGATTTATTGTGTTTTATTTTGCATTCCTTCCCTTGTTTATTACAAGTAGCATTAAATAGACAGCATGCAAAATTAGCGCATACTAAGGTTTTTTTTGTAAACGTCAGAAGGTTTCTTTTAGCATGATAACATTCCCTTGTTCTGTCAGATAGGTCAGTTACAAAATAATTTTTGGTGCCTGTAATACTTTCTCTAATAAAAAGTACGAAATTTCCACCAGAAAATGAATATTTATTTGGAATGCAAATTTACAATACATTGCTGCAATAATCAATTTCCAAATTAGATAATTAGTGCTAACATCAGTTTCAATTAATCATAAATATACGAAAATATAAACTACCATTCATCTACTAATTAGAAACCCTGCTGAGATTCTAATCTAGTTTGAATTATTTCCAATTGGCGTTTGGCTTCACACTGGGGGAAGTTCTGCAAGTCATAATACTGCGGAGCTATTTTCAATAACCACTCAGCTAGAAAAATGATTCTTTTATTTTGTGCAACTTTTATGGCATGAGCTTACCTTTAATATCTGTCACTGTACGTATATAATTTTTCGTGGTTAAAACAAATTCATTATAGATCACCCATTCGGGTTTATGGTCCAGACAGGTGGACGGATGGAGTTGTACCATTTGATTATCTTTAATGGTTAGATAATGGCCAGTTCTTTCCAAATGAGCTACCTGAAATAATTCAGCCGTTTGCAGTTAATGTAGTTTTAACAATATATGTAGATATTACTTGCATGAAAAATCCATTTACTAATGCTTTCCGTATGTTAATATAATAATCCTTGCTGCTGAAATCTGTAGAAGTTCTCTTAAGGTTGAAACGGTCCATGATCCTAGAGAGTTGTTGCCTTACATTGTCTGCAGACTTTAAGGATCGATAATTTATAAAATTATCATAGCACCACTGGGGATCTTCCATGTCTAAATAAAACAAATGATTATAATATGATATAAACATATGTAGAATGTTAAAAATATCACCAAAGGAACTAATTATAGAATACAGAAAGTAATCATGTGATCATGTAATTTTGTCGATTGTGAAGTGTTGTTGTTAGAAACTATAGAAATGGATCAAAATGGATCCTAAATATTAGGTACAAATACATAGACTGTAAAAGAAGATCTTTACCCAAAACTAAATTCTTTTATACATCACTTAAAAATCAATTAAACTATTTTTCATTAGTAGAAATCTGTTACCTCTTCTTTCGGGCGATGTTTTTGTTTACTAAACAGCAGTTTGTATCCACTGGGCGCCGTGGCGTTACATGTACTTCTGATTTGAAATGATTCAAAACGCACAAAAGCACAGACGCTTGGCGATTAAAAACCGCATCAACAGGCCATTTACTTGGTACAACGTGTGTGTGTATAACTTCATTTGAAAACAGGTTCATATATGTTACGGTGCTGCTCCTAGTTGACATAAACCACTGTGTGACATCGCCAATATAGAGAGGCTGCAATAACCTCACTTTGTATTCTAAATGAGTGAATAAAATACAGTTAATTTGGGCGTACCTTGGCCACATGACCATTATAGAAATCTGTATTTCTTTGTTACTGAACAGGGCAGGGAACAGGGTCAAAGAAAGAACAGACAGGAAAACCCCACAGATAGGATTCACAATTTATAAGAAAATATTTGTATGTGGAATCTTTTCATATTTAGTAGTAAATTACATTTTGGTATAACACTACTCGTGTGTACCTAATATATATCCATCAACAATTATTGTTTGCGTACTTATGTAAGAGGATGTCAAATATTAATTATAACAAGTGCTCACTAGGTCCACAAATATTATGTGTTTGCCGAGAGTGTGTATAGTCCAATAATATAGGGACAGGACCTCAAAATGACCTGGGGAAAGCTGGAAATCGCTCTAAAATCTTAAGATCTTGAAATCGAGTAATTTGTACCCCTCCAGAGGTTGAACTTTTGGTACCTCAAAATGTTCAAAATTTTTGGACTTTCTTCAGGTCTTCCAAACGCATCCCAGTGGAAACCTTACCCATAAACAAATTAAAGAGTATTACATTTTGAGTCGATCAACCCCCTCAACTTTAAAACTCGACCAATTAATACGGTAGTAATCGACGGCTGAAGGACGACAATATTTCCCATATTCGCTAAAATCTACAATTTTGTGGCCATAGAAAATAAGAAGCCATAAAGCAGACGACCACGAGGGGCGGTGACGAGGTTCTTTGAAAAATCAACCTTGTTTCTGATCTCTGTGCAGAAGAAGCTCGGTACGGCGTTTTTGAAACCTGCTTCAACTGGTTCCATGTGGAGGTGTTAAAATTAAGTATGTGACAAGAGGCATTTGACTATACTTGTCAATGTATAGAAGAGAATGACGAGTGCTAATTTACCATCCCACAGACTCTAAAAAACTTCAAAGCAGAGCAACTACGGCCACTCTGAAAGTCAGACTAGAGAAAAATCGTGGCAATGGTATCATTTTTCAGCCTGTTAAAGAAGATCTTGAGTGACAGCTAGTACAACAACTTGAAGAAGAAAGACAAAACAGAAGAGCGCCTTCGCATTAGTAAAACAGCTGCAGCGATCAACCTGGAAGACATCAGGCATTCAAGCCAATGATTTCTATCCTAAAGTGGACAATTTCTTGAGAGATCTGGAAAAGGACATTGCTGAGACGAATATTGTCACCTCAATGAAACAACAGGGTCAGAAATGCCTTAGTTGAAAACCAGTCCCCTTTATTGGTCATGCTGAGCGTTAATAGGACAGGGTTCGAACCTGGGCTGAGTTAAGGATTTCTCATCTGTAAGGTAAATACTGGTGCAGTATAGAACAACTTAAGACCTTCTGAAGGGCACCTCTAAAAAGCATATCACTCTGTAATTGTGTGAAAGCCTGTTGAGGGCCCTGAACAAGGGAGAAAATAAATAAATAAATATCATTTCATCAATTCTGACTGGGCCTGGAGCAATATTGTACAAGAAATATGGATCAAAGGACCTTCTAGAGCTGCTCTCCAATTTTGGGTTCGGTTGCTCATATAATAATGTCAAAGTGTCCGCGTCATCATGCGTTGAACAGCCAGCATACATACTGCGAGAGGCATCATTCAACCAATTTGTGTTGGACAATGCAGATACCAATATGGATACCCTTGATGGCAATAAAACCTTCTATGCCGTGGGGGGTCCTCACTAACCTTCCATTCTGCAGCAAAGTCAGAGACAACCATAACGAAACAAAACAAGTCACCCTCAGCACTAGAATGCTATACCATTGGTACCACACCAGACAGCAGGGCCTCAAGTCCATTATCACCTATGACACCAATAAGCAGAAGCCACTCACTGAAGGGCAACTTTCTCCCAGTGACATACTTTAGATTTATGGAAAATGGAAACGGTGCCTAGACATACCGGGGTCGACTTTATGGACAAAATTAGCGCTGGGAAACCATTCCAGACATCTTGTTAATTGTGCCTCGAATTTCGGAATTCCCCTCCAGGACACCCTGATGCAATTTATTCTGCCCTCCTCGATTCAGGAAGGAGAAAAACCATAAACAGGAATGTTGTTTTGTGATATACTAATGAGTATCCTACTGTGGCAATTGCGGGAGAAGATACACTGGCACTTTCTTCATGCAACTAGCAACTACCTTCTAAAACCAAGGAGAGGCCCATCCAATATTTTGTTGTCTCCAGGGCTGCTGAAACACTCCACCACCATCAAGGAGCATCTTCCCTTCCTCCACGCCATCAGTGGATGTGACACTACATCTGCATTTTTTTTTAAAGATGAAGTTTGCAACAAAAGTAACCCACAGTTGTAGGATGCTGCCCAAAACTTCAAAACTCTGATGTGTCCCAGAATGAGGTGGTCAGTGCAGGGGAAAAGTTCTTGGTTGGAGTGTACGCTCGCAGGGGGCGTTGCGCCTGTTGAAAAACAGGACTTAAATGTTCGACAATCTGCCTGAAATGTAAAGGCCAGGCGTGCTCCAACGCTCTTGTTGAGGAAGAAGCATTCCCCACTCCTCACCCCAGGAGGAGGAGGACCTCAGCAACGAATTGACGGAGGAGATGGAAGATGACCCAGAAGATGATGAGGTGGAGCACGATGAGGATCCAACCAAATCCAAGATGCTGATTATTACGGTATTCGAAAACTGTCTTTGGAATTTGGCATATAACTATGGTTAAAATTGTACAATTTGGGCGTTCTTAGAACTTGCCAATAAATTTTCTACAACTTTTACTACAAGAATGGTTTGAGATGAGAGGACCAGTACTATGGATGCTACAGACGACAGAAAGTACATTTTAGCGAATATGGGAAAAATGGGCTTATGAATTAGTCCAGTTTTAAAACTGAGAGAGTAATTCGACGCAGAATGTAATGCTCTTTAGTTTGTTCTTTGGTAAGGCTTTCGCTAGAATGCGTTGTTTGAGAGTTATTAGCGAAACCCTGAAAGTCGACTTTCGACGTAATAAGTAAATAAATAAATTATTGTCAAAAATACAAAAAAAAGATGGCGGCCATTTTTTATATTTTCCATAGTGGGATCGAATGGGACTTTTAGTATGTTAGGGAGAAAGATGTTCCCTACACACACACACATGGCGATAATCGAATATGAAGAAAGTCTGTGCGAAGATGGTCCCAAAAAATTTGACCCCTGATCAAAAGCTCGCCTGCCAACACATCTGCTTAGATTTTCTTGAGATTAGATAAAGAGCCCTGAATTAGTGATCATCACTGGGGATGAAAGCTGGATAATCCAATACAATGTTGACAGTAAGGAAGCAATGATGTTCCAGAGCGTCAAACTGCAAGCCAAGCACTATTTTAAAGTTTTGGCAACATTGCAAGAGCGAGTTCGTAAGAAATCGCTGGGGTTGTGGACGTTGCACCACAACACCTGCCCATAATGCACTGTCTGTGAAGCGTTATTTAGCCGCTAGGGGCACTTTTTCCTGTTTCTGAAGATCAAGTCTGCCTTAAAAGAAACCCAGTTTGAGTCGATGGAAAAGGTAAAGCGAAAATCGGCGGGGCTTCTAAATGCTCTTGCAAAAGAAGACTTCCAGCATTGCTTTGTGCAATGAAAAAAATGAGTGCTATAGCGTATAGCTTTTATTCCTTATCGCCTTCATGGCACTTGCTGGCGCCCTGATGTCTGCGATACGCGCTAGTAAGAGTCTAAATTGAGTGGTTCACCGCTGTGTAGGTACTACCCATCAGTAAACTGAAATAAAAACTTATTGGATAGCTACTTTCATAGCAACATAAACATCACACAAAAGAATAAACTGCAATTTAAATTTAATGTTTAATTTTAAGATAAATAAAATTTGATAAATTTGTATATAGCTTTGTCGCTGTAAAAGTAATGTTACATAAGTTTTACGTAGTGAAAATATTTCAAAAAATATTTTTTTCCGTCCGTGGGGCCGCCTTTTTATTGTTATAATAAACATTTTTGTGGCACATCAATTAAATACCAGTGTGCCACCGCACACTTTGTTGAACACGTAAACAACTGTAACTCATATGGTTTGCCACGAAATTTTGAAAGTATACTTTTGAAGGTTTCTACTTTCTAAAAATGATATGGATCATTCAACAGTGCGCCATCTGTTGAATTCCCTATAAACTTCTTGACCGATATGTGTATAATGGAAAAACGTATGAATGGTGGAAGGTAACAGTAAAGATTTGTGTTTTGAGTGACTTTTCCAATGTCAACTTATATATTTTTGAAATCAGAAAGAAAAGATCTATTCAATTTTAGAAAAAAATACAATTAAAAATTTACCACATTTGCATTGTTTATGAACTTTTCAATATTCATTTGTTTTTTACTTTACAAGTAAAAGTAAATAAATGTAGGAACGGCTTACTAATTAAAAAAAAGAAATGTGTATTAATCGGAAAAAATAGATTTGAAGTTTAAAATAGAACACCATTAAAAGGCGCGTTTTGAATCCTGACGTCACAGTTATGTTGCTAGACGTTCCCCTCATTACATTTTCTTCTCATGTATAGTTTAGCTTTTTATTTAGCGTATCTAGTTCACAAACAAGAAATGTACTTCTGCATATGTGCGCACGCAGTTTCATATAATCGATCGATTTGTCTTTATTACAAGGTGCTACTGTTACAATTTCAGCAGGATCGGTTCATAAATAAAAGTGACCTCTGCGCATGCACAGAAGGGCAAGGCCTACCGGGTTGAAAACTAAGGTGACAGCTCCAAGCGGCAAGTAAAGGCTTGTATTCATATAACGAACGAATTCAACCGAATGAATTCATTTGGCCGAATTCGTTGGTTATATGAACACAGACCTTTACTTGCCGCTTGGAGATGACACCTATTATATGTGTATGTACAACCAATCACAAGCGAACGAATATGCTTGCATTGAAGAATTTGTTAAGGATATTTCATAGTGTGTATGGCTTTCCACAGTATTTGCAATGGTTATACAGGGTGGGCCATTAGTGTGTGTGTGGAAGATTGTGGGTTTATTAACGCGCATACTTAAAATTCATTGTGGGGTAATGTTGAAGGACCCTTCAGGCTACAACCTAAAAATATTTTCAATGAAATTGCAATTGTTATACAGGATGATTTATATAATAATAATAATAATAATAATAATAATAACCTACCCACTTTACTTTCCAACTCCCACGTCCATGTTCCCTACTTTCCTACATTATACACAACACGCAGGTGGATATTTGCTTACGCGAATATCTTGAAGAGTGACGCCTTCACGTGTTCCTAGTCACCCCATATTCTCATGAAAATGGAGTTTAAACAAAGCCTCGGAAAAATGCCGCTACCTGAGGAGCGTCAGGGCACGTCTCGAGCTATCGCTGGGCGTTGCAGCATGCGAGCCGATAGTGACGAGTTGGTGAACAGGCGGCCGCTCGTCGGGATACCCGAAACCTCTACAGCCGAAAGAAGACTACGAAGAGGACAACGACCACCTGAAGAGGACCGCCATGAAGAGACCTTTGTGCCTGCTTCTCAACCGCTTGTGGATGGGACCAGCGCAAAGGATACCTCCAAAAGACGTATGAAATGGGACGAAGGGATGAATCGCTTCATTTTCGGTACGTATCTGGAGATCACGAAGATGGAAACGGACAGGACAGCATACAGAGGTAAATTTTTATTTTATTTATTTATTTCTTTTATTTTTTTTTAGGACCCTACATAACTTCACCAGACACAGACACAGACACTAATCGTTACTTGATTTTAATCCGTGCGATTAGTTAACCAGGCTAGACCTGAGTTCTCACAAGAAACACCGACCGAATATCTTTATTGTCAACCGAGCAAACAGCAAATAAATAACATTTCTTTGTTAATACATTTATGAGTGACAATAGGTGCAAGTTCAGGGACAGGCACAAGCGCCGCTCCTGGTCTTCCACTTGGACCAAAATCAGCAACGGGAAGGAAGAAAATAAAATTTACAATATAAATAGAAGAAAGAAAGAGGAAAGAAATAAAATCTACGATATAAATAGGATGGTTCACGAAACGTCCAGATTGCTAACAATTGATGCAAGATAGTGATAGTTAATGTGGCTTATTGAGATTGTAGTAGGTACTGTTTACTAGCAGATTTGAAAAGAGGTAAGGAGGCGATGTTCTTGATGTTATCTGGTAAAGAATTCCATAACTTACAAACATTATAAGAAAAAGACCTCTCAAACAGTGGTTATGTGCCTAGGAGGCATATCAAAGTTGCATTTTTTTGAATGGAACCCCCTGTATATTATTACATATCTCGATTCCTTGGTCAATTTTAGTGTGACTATGTATTACACATGATATCTAAAATGAGTAGTTTAACCGCATTTCGTCGTTTTTTCAGAAAGTAAATGTCCAGCAAAAATTGAATATTCGCTGTTATCATCAAACTTAGAAGGCCGTGACTTTGCAATGGTACTAATCATGAAATGTACTAACATACGCCGAATGACTAAAGTTACACTTCTTTTTTGTTAAAAGAAATCACTCTGTCAATTTTTAAAATTTCAATCAAAGGTAAGTAACTTGTTTTTTTTAAATGGAACTACCAAGTTTTTTTATCGCATCAAATGTAGGATTTTATTACCTTTTTAACAATATAAGCATGTCGATATTTATCTTTTACATATTTTTTGTAGTTCAACAATTTCTAATAATTCACAGTGTTCTTGGATTTTCAAAGCCTCTCAGTAATTAATAGGCCGTTAAAAATTATTTAAAAAAAATTTACTCCAAATAAAATAAAAATAAAACTTAAAAAAATCAAAATAAAAAGTTTAAATAAATATAAGAGAAAAATAATTATTCAAATAAATGTTCAAGGCCACACCTCTCAGGAAATTGTTGATTCAGCCATTCTTTAACGTTTATAGCAACATGAGGTAGGACATCATCGTGCTGAAACCACATTTGTTCTACGATGTGCACCAGAACATTTTGAGGAAGAGCAAAAAAGAGTACTCAAAAATTTAAAATACGTTATTCAAATTCCATTTTTCTAACACAACAATCAACAACAGAATTGTAAATGCTAATAAACTAAACTGACAGATGTTATTTCATTTTATTTTGTATTAATATTTTCTAATATGGCTTTCATGGTTTACTATTCAAATTGATTTATTTATAAGTTCACGCATTGGTTTAAATGCAAATTCATTATTTTATCTTTTAAAATGGGCTACGACAATCAAGAGTTTCTGTTTTGTTTTGTTGCGGGTAAATGTTTTATCATTTGAATTAGTGTTCTTAATTTTTAACAGCCTACTGATTACTGAGAGGCTTTAAATATCGCAAAAACACTGAATTATTGGAAATTGTTAAATTACAAAAAATAGGTAAGAGACACATACCGACATGCTTATATCGTTAGAAAGGTATTACAATTTTACATTTCATGCAATAAAAAAACTTCGTAGTTCCATTTAAAAAAATCAATTTCGGTGAAAATATTTTTAGGTTAAGGGTCCTTCAACATTCCCCCACAATGAATTTTAAATATGCGCGTTAATAAACCAACAATCGTCCACCCACACACTAATGGCCCACCCGTACACCCGCGAAAATAAACGAGTGCTTAAGAAATCAGTTGTTCGGAGGTGAATTTTCAACTCTTGTCAAAATTTGTTCAGAACTCCCAGAGAAGACTACAAACGAAAGTGTTAAAAAAATGTTTGATCTTGACAATTCTTCAGGATATTTGGAAAACCGAAAAAATGCCTGCTTTGGCCCCCTTGACCTCCAATTTTTTATGTAGGTACTTACCTGTACAAATAATGGTCATTAAAATTAAAAAAAAACACTGAAATAACTGTTCGTAGAAATATTGTTACTTACTCTGTTTAAATGCGTGGTAGACATTCAGAAGGGTCAGATGGTCACCATCAATATGTGCAAATCGCATCTTGGCATCATCGGCTGCTTTCTTGGCATCGTTCGGACGCACGAAACACTGTGGGACTAAATATTGGAGCAGGGCAGTTGCCCGTATCCAACCAATATAGTGGCCACACAAGGCTTTCCTACAGAGCTACCTTAGTTAGAGAAACTTAGAGCAAACAAACAAAATTCACTAACTCTTTTGAATTTGAGAATTATTAATTAGTTTGCCCTTAAGTTTATGCTTAAAGCTTAAATCAATTTCGAACTATATTTTACAATTGTCACAGTAGTTTTAAATGAAAGATTCAAAAATTGAAAGGTAGCTACTTGACAATAAAATCGTGAAAGAGTACTTAAATGAGTTAAAGTAAATACCTGACAGCATAGCGGTCACCGACAATATTTCATTGGAACAGTTGTGATTGCAGCTCGCAATAAGCATTTTAGCAAGTTGTGGATCCAAGGGGAATTCGGCCATTACAGCGCCTAAATCTGTGAGATTTCCGTCATCGTCCAAACCCGCTAAATAATTTAACAACTCCAGCGCTCTCATAAGAGTTTCGGGGGCAGGTGGGTCCATGAAGTCAAAGTGAACCAAGTCGTCGATTCCCAACTTCTTCAATTGTAGCACTACGGATCCTAAATTGGACCTTAAAATTTCTGGATATGTGTTGTCCTGCATTTCGTTCTTGTAAGCCTTCTCTGTGTAGAGACGGAAACATTTTCCAGGTCGGGTACGTCCAGCACGACCAGCTCTTTGCTGAGCAGAAGCTTTGCTGATTGGCGAAACTAAAAGTGATTCGACACGTATTCTGGGATTGTACACTTTTTGTTTGGCAAAGCCCGGGTCGATTACAAAGACAACCCCATCGATAGTAAGTGAGGTTTCGGCAATGTTTGTGGACACTACGACTTTGCGACCGATTGCTCCGTTAGCTTTCTTTGGTGGTGGATCGTCAAAAATTCTTTGTTGCAGATTAGGTGGCAGTGTGGAGTATAACGGAATGCATCTAAGTTCACCTACTTCTGGTCCGAGGTTATCGATTTCTCTCTTAATTCTTTTACAAGCTGCTTCGATCTCCTCTTGACCTGTCAGAAATAGTAAAATGTCACCGGCTATCTCCTCGCACATGTGTATCTGAATCACAGTTCGAATTGCGGCTTCTAAATAGTCTCTTTCGGGTTCAGGGGTGTAGAAAATTTCGACGGGATGAGTTCTTCCTGGCACGTTCATTAGTGGTGCGTTATCAAAGTACTGTTGAAATTTGCCAGCGTCAAGTGTGGCAGACATAATGACCAATTTTAAGTCGCTTCGCTGTTTAACCACTTCTTTTAACACTCCCATTAATATGTCCGTTGCAAGTGTACGTTCATGAGCTTCATCAAGAAGAATGCACTGATACGCCTCCAGCATAGGATCACTCATTCCCTCCCTCAGCAACATACCATCAGTCATGTATCTAGAAACAGAAGTAAAATGAGAATCCATATACACATGTTATAAACGTCAACTGCTATTCAGGAAATAAAAACTTTAGTTTAGCACGTTTAGAACTGTCTCATCAGATAATATGATTGACGGTAATAAATGTTGAAAATGTACAAACCAATAATTATTAGGTATATACAGTGTCCCCCCGGATGGACTGAACAAGAGGGAAAAAATTTTTGCTTGCCTCAAAACCACCTATTCTGAAATAAAAATCTAGATATTCCTTTTAGCAGCTGAGAAAATTACAAAAAACGCAAAATCTACAGCGGAAAGTTGCATGTTTTTGATTAAATCAGACTATCATTGTATCTTCCATGGCAACCTGATACGCTGAACATTATTTGTTTGAAACCTTTTTCTATAACTCTTACCGTTTTCGATAAAACGCCCAGGCAATCACGCACGGGGGTAGGGAATGTCCACCCAAGTTTCTTTTGCTTCCTAGACACCCAAGTAACTAACCCATAAAGACATTTCTCTATATGCACACTCGCACACAGAAGTGTTGTGAGTTGCTGGACTATAATACTTGCTTACGTTCACCAGACAAAGCGCTACATAAAGGCAAGATTTCTCGCGCGAACTGCTTTCTGATAGCACTGTCGAGGTGTAAATACCACTGTACGCCCAACTTACAGTAGAATGTACTGGTTTGAATTTGGATTCGGGCATGGATTTTTGTAAATCTATAGTGGGGTGGTAGATCAGCCTTGACTGAAACCCCACCCACTCAAAAATAAAGGTAAAATACATTTTGCATTCAGTAATGAAAAAATCGGAAAATTTACTATCGGACATCGGAGAGTTTCTTATTTATCAATTGCTTTTATGCAGCAATGAAAGTGAAAATAGGTTAGAGTAGGTACCTTGGGTCTACTATGGTAGGGATGATCAGATATGCCCCAAAGTTTAGACCCCACAAACATGCACATTTCAACTCCCTACAACCATATATAAGAGTAGTGTAAGGGGTAGTGGTACATAAGAGAGGGAGGTTAGATTTTTTTTAATAAAAAAGAGCGACGTCATAATATAAAAAATGATGAAGTCCCACTTTTTTGTTTTTGTTTTTTGTCCCGAAGGTCGCCTTGATGTGCGCGTTTGGCGTTATATTTATTTGTTCTTGCATTTTATTCCCAATTATGGCGGACTTCTGCAAGATCAAAAGCGAGGTCAAAAGGGAGCATATTCTTTTAAGGCTGGGATTGCCTGAAAAGAGAAGTACTCATAGTAAAGGACAAAGTTTTTTTCGTTAGAATGTGCTGGTACCTAATAATGAATAGCGTAACTACAGCAGTTTTCTATACAAATATTTAAATCATTATACTCTCTTTAAGTGGGCCCCAAACAACACAGAGGGAGCTTTGAACAAAAATGCAATTTGATTTGCATAACCACACAAGAAAATACAAAACACAAACGCAAGGTCGTTCACGGCTCCTTACAGACTGCTAGGTTAACAAAATTATAATTAGCTATATATATATATATAGTAAAACTCTTGATTCCTTCACTTAACGGTAAAACGCCGACATTTCAAAGAAAACACCTTTGGAAATTCAATTCTTTTTCATTGTTACAATTGAATAAAGAGGTTTTTATTCAATGTCATTACGAAGTGTGTTGTTATACTTATAACGATCCTAGTGCCTATTCAAATAACAGGTAACGAAGACTTTGTAACTAACGAAATGTTATTACAGTAGAGACGCGTTTTGACTTTTAGGACTTGGAAAAAGTTCAACCAAATTTTCGTTTTTTTTGTATTTTTTTCTGAAACGGTAGGGAAATTTCGAATTAGAACAAGCAAAAGCTTTTATGGAGAATGCATTTTTGTCAAAAAGTATAGTAAAAGTTTTTCTTCTTGTAAAGTCAATCCGGGGACATACGGTATACCGATTTTTTAAAAATTTTTTAGCCGTTTATACCTAAATATACATTTGTTCCCCATGTCTTACATTCGAGGGATGGTCTTTTGTAAATTAGTAATATACAGGCTGATTCAAATTCGAGGGCCACCATCCATGGGTATCTCGGGAACTGTAAGAGATAGGTAGGTGGTAAATTTGGCAAAGTTGTGTATTTTGATGCTTAACAAAAACAGTTTTGAAACTGAAAATTCTGACTACTTTCGGAAAAAAACGAGATTTTGAAAATCGTTTTTGTTTTTTACTGAAGTTAATAGGTAGTTGTTTAATAATAAATGACACATTATTATGGCCACTTTTTTCCCTCTACAAGATGCTACTTTTAAATTTGAAGTTTGACGTTTCGTCTCCGGTTAACTATCATCAACTTTGTTTCTTATGGAAGTACTTTTTACTTTTTGTGTCATTTGAATTTTTTTCTGATTTCAAAAATGTACACATCAATTTTTTTAATGCTTGTAAAATATCTTTTTTGCCTTTGTCTTAAGTAACGTACGTAAATAGTTTCTTGCGTTTTTACGAATTAACGTTATTTCTTATTAAAAATAGATGATGTTACCATCAAGGGTAACTTTGTCAAATGTAAACTACCTCTACCTATCTCTTACAGTTCCCGAGATCCCCATGGTGGCCTTTGAATTTGAATCACCCTGTATAGATCAATTATTACACATTACACTAAACTGACTAAACTAATACTAATATGCAATAGGTACTATCATTGAATAAAGAGCTTTATTCAATGGAACTATTGAAGTTCAAAAAATTTAATTTGCAACAAGGTATGGATTATAAATTACGGTATTTTAATCTGCAATCAGCAAAGCTAAAGAATAGGGAAGACGGTCAAACAAATCGCATTACAAATAAACACCCACACAAGGTCGCATCTTGCCAGACATCAACAACAATATACAACAGCCCTTTGTTCTAAAAATTACGTAAAATTTTGATATTTGTTGTAAAGGAATGTTACATGTTACCTATCCCCATTTCTATTATTTATTTCATAAAACGATAGGTAGAGGAGATACCTTTCGCAATGAATAGGAAAGAGAAACCAAATAAATTTCGAAGCAAGTAGTTGACAAAGTAAAAATATACCAGCATTGAATAATAATTATTCAATGATACCAGTGAACGATCTTTTTCTTGCTGTCAGCAAATTCTATTACACGCACGCTCTGTTCAACCTTGAAAGAGAATCGCTAAATGATTTAGCATAGGCAACTTACATAGCCTGCTAGTTTTTTTTTTTGCTCGTAAATTTTTGGTCTTTTATTATCCCCATTACACAGTACTAGTACTAGCCTAGTTAAAAAGTAAGAACAACTCCACCGCAAGATAAAAGCGCTTACCTATTTCATATCTTTATCGTATTTTTTACTGACTTCATAAAACTCTTGGTGGCACCCTCTGTGAGAAAGAAGCTACACTGTTGACCGCGATATTAGTCACAGCTGCGTAGTTTATTTCCATTTCTCCAGTTTACATGCCCATTTTTCAGAACTTCATTCACCACTTTTTTTATGAAAACTTTTGAGCTTCACATGAATTGCCAAAATATAGATAAGTATTCAGGCTACCGATCCCATACACTCGTATTGCTTAAAATGCTCCCTAATTTTTGCAATTAATTCCTAAACATGAACTCTTTTGACGCATGTTTTCTGGATTTTTTAAACATATATTAATGGACAAAATATCAGTTTATATTGTATGGAAACTATGCTCTGTACATCTATCTACCTAATGCATATTTTTGCGATCATATACACCCCTTGCTTATGGAATGGTGAATGAAGTTCAGAGGCAATACACGCCCCATTGAATTACATGTGCATCACCAGTTGCCTATACTCTCTAAATCCAAACCTTAATGGCAGCTATTAGTATTCATTACATAAATCAAAGAGGGCACTTTTTTGGATGTAGCAGCATAAAAAAACATAATCAAATTTAAGAAAAAGCTCAAATTAAAGAAAATGTTACTTAATTTTATAATTTTACTGGTTTCGTTATGTTTTGTATGTTCATAAAAAAATGTTCATTCTTTAATAGTACCTCACGAAAAATAGTGCTTTCCATTAAAAAAGTGAACCTCTTAGTTCTGTAGACTGCAAATAATTTTTAAGCATATAGATTTACTTATACATTCTCGAGTATCTACATTCTTAATGATTTTTAATATAATAAATTGCTTTGACGTAACTAACAAAAGAATAACGTTTTTTTTTCAACGCCAACTATTATCTGTTCACCGAACAGATGCAGTTAAGCTCCTCCTGAAAAATTCCCGGCAAATTTAAATGAATATTTTTAGTTGGCCGAATTTTCAAAACCTGTAACACACGCAACTATTTGCTTCCAAAATTATAATTGCCGTATCTGAATTGACATCCGTATCGTCAAACCTGTTATTGGGTTTTGTATTTGTCTTGCCTCAACTTGCCCTTATTTTCATTCATACGAACAAAATAATCTGTTTGAACTTAATAAACAATTTGAAACTATGCACTGGTATGTGTTGAAAGGTCAACATTCAAAACATAACATTTTATAACTTAGTCATACAATCAACCCTATGCTGTATCACTCTCGTTATTCTATACGATCAATCGTTATCGCAGATTAACGATCAAAGGTTATGATGACCACAACGACTATCGATAAACGCGATATGCTGTATCAATATTTTAACGGTATCGTAACGTTGCCCGGTATCTCGCAGTGGCTATTTCGGAAAAAAGTGTCACATTCTAGAAGACAAGGAACGCTGCGCAACGGCAGTGCGTGTAAGAGTGAAATACCACAGCGATAAAATATAAGAGGGCGTTGTGGTGCGCGCTTTATCTTTAAACAAATGCCCGCCAGATTTGGAAATGCAGACGTTTCTTTAAAATTATTTGTATTATTAATTGTACGTGTACCTATACCTAGTTGTTTTTTCACGACATGGCGAATGTCGAAGAGAATAATAAGAGGCGGAGAAAAACCACTAGGAAACAATTTGAGGACTTGTTATATTTTATTGAAAGTAATAACATAATCCTCCACGGAAAGACAAAACCGTTGGAGGCAAACAAAATCAAACATTTGTGGCAGGAGTTTGCCAGCGGAAATGGACCACCAAATACTGCCTTACAGATTCTCGAAATTTTTTTTGAAAATCAATTTCACCCAGCTGAAACGGATCGCTGTTGCCTCGTAAAATTCTTCGTTGGATGTTTTCCTCGTGTCTCAATAAAAACATAATCTACGAGTATTAAAAGACACAGAACTCACCTCCTTATTACATTTTCCAATTGCCCAAACAAAGCTACTTGCAAAAATCCTTGAAAATTATTCATTTTCTTTCTCTTTAACACCCGCTTAAACTCCAAACGAATCGCTGACAGGACCGTTACGCCCCAAACGGGTAGCATGAACCCTGTCGTTACGTTTTTCTGGTTATGGTTGCAAAATAATGATAGAGAATTACGATAGTCGTTATCCCACACTTGCTACGAGTGATACAGCATACCGATTTTTAAAAAATTATGGTAACGCCGCATAACGATATCGTTATTCTTAACGATAGTGATACAGCATAGGGCCGAATGTGACATGATTTTAAATTTCTCGGTTTTTATAATTTTGTGTCTGTGAAACGGGTCTGTTATTACATTGGCCTAAATTTATTGGGAGTGGCTTAACTGCATCTGTTGGGTGAAGAGATTATAGTGAAATTATAATATAAATTATTTTCCTTATTTTGAGTTGTTCCCTCAAATTTGATTATGTAATATCTCACTCGCGTAATATAATAAGATTTGTATGTTGCTATAAAAAAACGCCCTGTCACTATCCAGAAGTAAGCCACTGACCACAAATTTAAGCTATGCAAAAGTTTCGTTAAACAAAATCTTGTTTTGAACATATATCGTGTTCCAGACATAAAGGTATACGCAAACCTACGCGGTCGCGGTAGCGGTGGCGAACGTAAGGCCGCACACTAGGGCGTTCAATCCGCGAGATCACATGTTTTTTTACGCACACTACCAATTGATGAAATATGGCATTTGAAGTACGGGATAGATTTGTTTCTTTTTTTTAATGCCTAACAATGTACTAAAACTATAAACAAATACACTTATCTTCACCAGGTTTGTCCAGTATCATGGCCAATTCATCCCATACGTTATCTTTCTTTTTTATATTTTTATACTCCTTACATGTAACTTCGTATAAAATTGGATTTCCTCTCACTAACTCAATTAGTTGTTCTGTCATTTTCTTTCGAGACATGCAGCGCAAACTGGCGGACCAACTGTGAGTGCAGCTGTCGCTCGCCACCGCTCTAGATTGCCGCGTTTGTTCGCTGCACTGATCTCCACCGCCACCGCTTGAACGCTTCAGTATGCATTGCCTGTATAAAATGTGTGCATTCTATTGCCCGCCACCGCCACCGCGTAGGTTTGCGTAAGCCTTACTGCTCACCTGTGTTCACATGTGTATTCAACCGGCAGAAACCTTTATGGTCTAAATAGTGGCAACTTGTAAGTAAATATAGGGCATTGACTAATTTATACCCGAGCTAATACCGTCCCACAGACAGCTACTTCAAACATAATAACGTCAGTAAAATTTACTATTGATATAAGTAACAGGTGTCGCCGCGATACAATTATTCTTTTAGAAACCACTGCTAAAGTTGCCCAATGCAACAGAGAACCTAATTTTTTCAATTGTTAAAGTATTTAAATGGAATTTTGTATGTGGGCACCTCGAATAAAAGTAATTAGTAATGCTCATTAAAAAATTGGGTTTGCGTTACGGAATCTAATTTTTTTAATTTGTAGAATTTAGATGGTTGTCAGATAACATTAAGCACTTGTTAAGGTTTCCTTAATAGTCACAACGCGTGGTGAATTGTGATAAGAGCCACGACACAAATATTGTGATGTGTGCTCTTGGGTGCCGAGAGGCTTTTGACTCTAGGTAGTAGATGTACACTTTTTGGGTAATAAAAAGAACAAATGAGAATTTATATATTTTGACATGTGAGCGTTTTAAGAAACGTACTGAAAAATTTTTGTCTGTCAACCGAAGTTCGTGCCTCACAACACTACTACTACGGCCCACGTTGAAAACCATCTCTGGCTGCGGCACTACACAATTCTCTACAACTTTCTTTTTTTCAATAGTATTCAAACCAGAGACACTAAAACTGAAAGCAACTCTGCTCTGCAGATTTGAGTACATAACTTACTTGAGAATAGTTTTCGCAGACGAACAATCCTCAAATCGAATGCTGTAACCGACTTCTTGTCCAAGCGCAACGTCCATTTCCTCGGAAACACGTTGAGCTACGGACATTGCAGCTACTCTTCTTGGTTGAGTACAGCAGACACCTTTCTTTCCTACCGACCTTGCATAATCCACACACCACTGCGGTATTTGGGTTGTCTTTCCTGAACCAGTTTCTCCGACTAACACAATACACTGATTCTCATGAAGCAGTCTAGTGAAATCGGCCTTATACTCGAATACTGGCAACAATATACGTTTGCTGTAGAGGTTATGGTAACGTTGAGTAAAGGGTAATCCAGTCAAAGGATTAATCGATGAATTGACTTTTGGTAGGACATTTGTAGTTGTCAGGGACATTCCACGTTCTTCCCTATTAGGTTATTTTTTGTAATTAAAATGCAATACAAGAGAAAATGTCTTACCTTTTCTTTTTAATAAAAGGATCTATGATATCTATTCGGCGTTTAGACATGATTAACTAATTGAAAATAATTCTGCTAATTGCTTGCAATTGGTTACACATATAAGATAAACTAATATTTGATTTAATTACAATCAAATATAACCATAACGACCACGTTATTGACGAATAATAGACGGAAATTGTTCAAGTCAAAATCATACATAAATGGGCATTTGACATCTTACAACTGCTTGTTGTGCCGGCATTATTATGACAGTGGCGTGCCCCCGATGAAAAATAAGAGGGGGTTTACAAACTGTTAGACCCAGAGACTTGTTATAACTAGACCGCGCGTAACGTAGATTTTACTATAAACGCCTGTTGTCAATATAGGATAGGCAACCAACTGTTCATTGCGGGGCAGACGTACGTTCTGCAGCTTGCTTTAGCCATGTTTATTCTAAATTTTAGTAGCAAAAAGAGATAACATACAGCTGTTAACTGTTTTAATCGAATTTATTGGTATTTTATTTGAAGTAAATTGATATATAACTGTCTTACTCTAGTCCTAGTTTGATTTATATGTGTATTTTGGTGGTGAACACGTATGGGAAAATATACTCTTAAAACTAAAGTTGTAAGTAGTAAGATATGATTATTTAGCGGATTTTGATTCAATATATTCCTATCCAAAAACCCAAATGGGCTGTAACTGTTATTTATTTTTCTTAGACTGCTGATAACCATTTTGTTTACAACGCGGTGTGGTGTGGATTGAATGAAAAACCTGAACACATTTTCAGCAATTTTGGCAAATTTTTAATGCATCGCTTGATACGTGCAACAATCCTCCACGATTTTTTCTAGTTAAAAGCTTTGAATGACTCTCTGATGCGAATATCGCATCTGCACATATGGAACATGTAACAGACTTACCTATTTTTCTTGTAACAAAACCTGAAATATACTTAGTACCAGTAAGTACTTAGTTACGTCTATACCTAATAGACAAATAGGTACTGCCGTTGTCTTGCTGGTAAAGGATGTCGAATAATAGTTCTACGTTATTTTAAATGAATGGGAAAGTCGAAAACGTTCGGTATTGCATTATTGTTTAACACCTTCGTAGGTACCTTTCTAAAATCGGCTTCATTCCCCGCAAAATGCATTATGGTGGGAGTAACTTTTTCTCTTCGAATGGCTCTGATCCATTGGCCCTTTAAACTTTTATCCGTTGAAAATCAGCGTATTATTTAAAAATTTATCGACAGAGTACATGTTGATAGGCACAAGTTAACCTAAGTTTATTGGTTTATTCTACAACAGAAATTTATCTGTTCACTAATTCGAGCTAATCACGAGAATGATTAATGAACGGAACATCTAAAATATCAGCTTATTTCATTATATTGCATATCATCTCAGCGATTTTTGCCCCGCGGTGCATTGTGTGTTGCATACTGTGTCGACAACACCTTAGATACGTTAAGCGCAGTCTAGTTATAGCAAGTCTCTGGTTAGACCCCAGAGCTGTACAGTGTACATACCTTAGACCATATAGTACATGGACTGCTAATTGTAACGAAAATATGGTCAAGGACATCGCCTGGCTATGTGAGTTTCAGGGTAAACGAGTCTGTCCGAAGTTGTGCGATTAGACACGATTTGAGACTCAACCTATAAATTAACAAACGTCAATTAATTAATCGCCTAGATATGCCAAAAAAGCAAACCTATCCGTATTTGTGAACGTATAGAAGATAATCAAGAGTATTTAAAGCTTCCCGTACTACGCGGTTCCCATAAAAGCTAGTCTTTACGCGATCCGAGTGGTGTTCATACGACTTTAGTTTACCCTGACATTCACATACCCACGACTACAGTGCCCTCTATCCGTGACCACCCATTTTGTATTGAAAGCATAGGGATAATAGCAGTCCATGTATATGGTCTAAACAATAACCTAACAGATTTCGTAATTAAATTGGACGGCGGTAGTTTTAAAAATATGACAGCTGTCAATTGTATCTACTACTCATTTGAACTACTCAATAGATTGAGTCGGCGGTGTTGCCTACATTTGCAACAATATTTGTTGCAAGAATGAAAATTTGTACAGTAATTAAGTATACAATGAAGTATCTAGCTATCACTGGTCTACCACCCACGCAAGATGCATAAAAAATTATTCGATTGAACTTATTTCTACAAAGATGAAATTTTTGTTGGAAAAAGTTGATGTCATAAGAAACCAAAAAAAAAATAGTCTACCGATCGCGTGGTGTTGCTAAGGTCTCGGTAGACACGCTGGAAGCTACGATTTCCCGAGCGCAGCTGGTGCACTGCTCTGCTAAAAGTACCTCTAAATTATTTTTTTCACTACTAGCGTCTGATGACATGATTATTAACCTTTTTTCCACTTGTAAAGTAGGCTTTCTCGGCATTTGTTCAAAGTGGTTAATAATGTAGACATTATTAACTACTGTCAATAATGAGAACTGTCACTTTTAGAAAACACAACCCGAAATTTCGCTCAATAAACGTTTGGACAAGTTCTACCTATAAAATGAATAATTGCCACCAGCCGCCATTTCCAGAGAAATTACATTCCTAAAATTATCACATTTTGAAAAAATTCCAACGAAATTACTCTTTGAAAAATCTCAATGACAGAACAAAATACGGCCTGTTTGACTTGTACTTCCACGTACTTGATTGACATGTTAAATTAATAAACAAAAAATTCTGTCCAACCGTTCACTTTCTTATCAATATAATGTTAATTTCCCAGAACAAAAAACTTAGAAGGGAAACGTAAACGGGAACAACTGAGTACAAATATAATTGGTTTGGAGAACATTCAATAGATGGCGCATAGTTAGCGTTCGTGTCATAGATATATAAATACATAGATACAGCCATACCCCAACATAGTTCAAAAGGACGTACCATCTATTACCATCACTTTCGGCACATTAATTACGTATAGCGCTATCCTTTATAGAGGTACCCTGAGCATGGAAGACAAGATTCGCATTATTTATTATAACTGTCAATCAAATTGTTAGCACAAATCACACAGAAAATTATCAGATTTGAGACTTTACAACATAAATAAACCGCCTTTTTATTTATTTAAATCGCATAGCAGCAAGAAATGTTACATTTAAAATGGAAGATGTTACTTATAAAGCTGGCAAATGAAGAATTTGAAAAAATTACAGCTGACAACTGGAAGAAAGTGTGTGAACATGTGGAAAGTGATTAATTTAAAAGAGAAGTTATATTGGTTGATGTTTCTGAAGTTTATAATAAGTGTTAATAATGACAGTGATGATTCGGATTTGTCAATTTCATCTGA